ATGGACTTAATTGTTGATATTTATTGGAATTCTGGCAAAGCTCCACTTAAGATATAAGAGGCCAGATGAGAAAAGAGAAAGTGGAACATCTTCAGTGATTACAGAGCTATTACAGTCATTTCTATCCTAAGCAAATTAATGAAATGGCTGATACATGAACTCAGGCAATAAATGACAAAAAAAAGAGATAGCGATATAATTCAACATGCTATTATTTTTTTCAATGAGATTGCAAGCCTGAATAAAGATAATCACATTTATGCAGCTTACTTGGATTTCTCAGTAGAATTTGTCTTAATACTGAATGGTATTGCTATTTAAAAATAGTATGTTACAAAATCAAGACAACAAATTTAAACTGAGTGAAATCTGGGTGATAGACCTCAACATGTAAACATTAATGAGAAGCTACTGAAAAAAAGGATAGATTTCCAAAAATCTCTAACCTAATCCTGTCCCATGTTTGTACCTTGACTTGAAAGAGGTTATAATATCACAGCTGAAAATGATGCAGAGAAAGCAAAGGTGGAGAATGGTAAAAAATCCACAAAAATTTGGCCAAACTTAGAGTAGTTTGCCTAGAAACAAAGGTATCAAGTCATTTTAGAGAAAGAGGGATAACATACATGCAAGACCCACCAAGGGTCCAGGTTTGGAAGTCAGTGCTAGACAAATTCAACTTAGTGATTAGAGAGCCTCAGGAAGAAGAGGGATTCTTTCAGACTTGATAATGAGATTGAACATTATCCCAAAGATGCATTTTAGTAGTATTAATACTTTATTTGGCTTCATAAATCAATTATGGAGTTGCGTTGTGCAGTACGTCAACTACAGTGACCAAAAGAGAATGCTGTAATATGAATCATTAGAAGGAATTAAATTTTTAATTTTTAAATTAAAAGTGACATTTACCAAGTCCTATGATACATATGCATCAGTTTTTCCTATCTCCACCATGAAATACTGATGTTTTCATCCTTAGCAAGGTTAGCTAAGGACCAAAAGTTAAAAACTGTGTATATCAAAAGTGGTCAGTAATATTAATTATAACTTAAAAAACCCTCAATTAACACTTACAGGGTAAAAGTAGAATTTGATATGCAGAGCAACAGCCAAACAGAAAATATACCTTGGCCTTGAAAGCCTGTTTCCCAGTAGCTGAAGAATAAGTGACTGTAATAATACGTCAGCAACACAATGAAACTTCTAATATATGACCAACTTGAGTCTAATGTTAATTGAACTTGAGTCTAACGTTAATTAAACACAGTATCAGGAAGAGGGGAATCAAACAGTAGACAAGTCTACTTTCCTCTAGGGCAAAGTGCCCTAGAGGAGTCCAGTCCATCCTTAATCTGGTATTCATCCAGCTGAGATGAGAAAAAAAATTCATACCCCTCAGAAAGACGTTAGTGCACTCACTAATAATACGCCACTGGCAAGTTTAAGATGGTGTGGTTTCCATCATCCTGTGGAATATATGAAATAAAGGTACTTTTCAACCATTTCTACATCATCGGAAGTCAAAAGCTAGACTTAACTGCAACTGATGGTCACCGTGTACATGCAGACAGAGCTTGAAATTGTATGTAGCCTTTTGGGAGCTGAACTTGAGGTGGGAAAAAAATGGAATCTCATATATGTGGTGGGGCTTGTCTAGAGTCACTAAGACTAATACAATGACAAAGGCAAGATTCAGGATGGTTGTCTTCCTATTATTCTCTGGACACCAGCCCTGAGGAATCTGAACCCAGTAACTGAGAAGCCTTCGTGCAGAGTAGCAATCATTTCCTCACATCCCTTCAAAGGCAATCGAAGAATTGTGTATCTGGCTTTTAATGTTTGCTTACTTTAATATAGAAATAACCTGTGCATGCTGGTGAACAACGGCTTCCCTTATTTGGCCTTCCCTACCCTTTCCTGCTCTTCTGTGCTCTGCCCTACTCTGAGTGGTTTGATACCAGCATCAGTGTATTTAAGTCATCAGAATGGAGAACATTGCTTTATATCTTCAAGCCAAAACAGAAAAGTACTTTTTTGGGTTAACCCAATTTTTGTATTCTCATTTTGAGACAATAGGTCACTGTAAATAATTTCGGTCTGCGTAAATCATTAAGCTATTTCACCTTAAATAATGCATTATACTGCAGTTAGCAATACTATCTCTTTAGTGTACAGTATGTTAGAGACAAGTATTTCATTACTAAAAACTGCAGAACGTTGTATTAGATAAACTTTTATAACATGATATAGTAACATGAGAGGTTCTGGTTTTTGTTCTGAAGGCAAAGTATGAGTGGCATGCAGAAACATCTTTGGTGATGAGAAAAAATCCATCAATCCTGTTGTCCTCGTATAACTCACCATAGCAATTTTTTAAGTGATTCAGAAGAGTATCTTCCTTTTTCATCTGGAGGGATTTGTGTGATAAAAAGGCACTGGAGTAATAAAAAGTGTGTATTTCACTGGTGGTTATGAAACATTGTGTGCCTGAAATAAGTATAGTGAGTAATGCCAAATGGCATTTGCAGACTTCAACAAACTGAGTCACACATCTTGTAGAAAACAGTCCAACCTACATGTCAACAAACCAGTCTAGGGCAAAGGACTAGTGAGAACCAATGCAGTTTGACTACTGTCCAGCACGACTCAAACTTGAAAGAAACTTCAAACGAAATTAGCAGAGAATGTGTATTTAAGAGATATAATTTTTTTTCCCACTTTAATAACAAATCACAGATTTTTAATAGAAAACATTATGGAAGTTATTTTTGCAAAAAAAAAAAATCCACCATTTGTTGAAATCCTTCACTGTTTTTAAAGAAATTTTAATTTGTTTATTTACACCACTCTAAGTTAACCAAATGTATTTACTTGTTTACTTTTCTAACAAAACTACAGAGAAAATTATCTTAAGCACTTGCATAAGGAACAATGGCAAATTCTACCTGGGAGAACACAAAATCAACTGTTCAAAATTTCTATATAAGGAGATTGGAATGAACAAAATTATGGAAAACATTGTTCCTTTTAAGAAATTATCTAAGAAAAATTTTGTAAAATTGAATACGCAAAGTGAAAAATACTCTCCCAAGTGAAGTGCAGGAATTTATTGACAGATAAGTCAAACCAGTAATAAAAGTAGTCAACTAGAGGAGGGACGAAAAGTTAAGAACTTAAAAGATCTAACAAATACAAACCATCACCATATAGAATGTAAATATTGCAAGAAAGTTAAATAACTTGTCAGCAATTGGGTACTAAAGCTATGCTTTCCAGTTTAGCTGTGTGTCTTTGGAAGATTTGGCTTAAAAAAGAGACATAATCAGAAACTGGCACTATACAAATTAAGAAGAATCCAACAAAGAAATGTAAGTAGAAATTTCAGAGGCTCCCAGCTCCACACAGGGACTTGCAGATGGGTCCTGCTACGGTGCAGGGCCTTTGACAGCCTGAAGGAGCCCTTGCTCCCTTTTACTTGCAACAATCTTTTTTGAGCTGGACTAGTTCACTGGTGTGCAAAGAAGTTCCAGATACAATGCACTGCTACAATTTGGGGTGGTGTGCTGTGTTTTTGCATAAAGCATGATATTTTATGCCAACAGACAGTTGGATCTTACTGTGGCCCCAGTGCTGGTCGCTGTCATGGCTCCTAACTTCTGATGGCCTTGCCTTCAAAACAAAAATCCTTCAGTGCTGTGCTACATGCTGAGGTTACCGTGAATCCAGAGCCACTCACAACTGCACCGTAAGAAATATTGAAATGTGGAATCTCTCCTAATTCCTGATACTTATGGGGGGATGAAGTACATCCTAGCTCTTCGTTTCACAGCCTGCCTGGACATTCTCCTAAAATAGGCGGCTACACTTAAAGTTGCTTTTAATTTTTTTTTTTTTCTTTTTTTAAAGGTGGGAAGACTTTCTTTGGTTGGTAGCCCCAGGATCTGAGCTCTCACCTGGGAGCTGGAGGCACTTGGTGGGGTAATGCCTTCTCCACCTGAAGGCACTCCCCAGCAGACCAGTCTGACCACAAAGGTAGTGACTGTTTGCAATTAAAAAAAAAAAAAATCTCTCTTCCCTTTCTGTTGAATTTTGTGTTGCGTATTTAAAGACCTTCCAGCCTGAAAAAAAGCAGCATGAAAAGCAGCAGGACTCTGCAGGCTGGCAGAGCAGTCATTCACTGTGAAGAGGGAAGACAAGTGCTCCAGGCACCAGCATCTCCCTTTCCCTCGCTTCCCCCACGGCAGCAGCACCAGCCACACCAAGTGGCAGCAGCTGGCCCGGTCCTTCCTGCGTGTCCTGATGAACAGGCATGCTACAAATAAGCAGAGCAGATTGAAGCCTTTGGGCAGTGTAAACTAATATTTATCTAGATTTAGGATCCAGATGGGGTTCAACTCAAGATAGGTGTTCAGCTGGTCAGTGCTCTCAAAATCAGTTATTTTTAAAACCTTGAGGCTTAGGAGCTTTTAAACACTAGTAGTCATCTCTGAAACTATCAAGGTTCAGGACTCTGCGTTCCTGAGGTCCATTTTAGTAACTAAATCTTTTTGTGGACATAAGCCTCAGCGACAAAAGGGTTGTTTTTATTCAGACTCCAAATTCATCTTGCTTCTCCTGTGACTGTTCCTGAAGGACATTTGCAACTCAGAGGCAAACATCTAGAATAACCTAGTCCCACCTTTATGGAGACCCTAAGGGAATTCAAATGATCGGGCTTCTTTATTTATATACAAAGTTGTCTCATTCATAGACTCATCTTTTCACTATTGAATTTCTTGGTATTCAGCTTAACTGCTATTAGTCTCTTACTTATTTTACGTATTTGTGTACCTATATATTACCACTTACTGAACTTCACAACAGGTCCAATTATAAAAGATGTGTTCCATGGAGTTTTAACTTACTCCCAGCCATCGGGAAAGCAAATATAATTCAGTTAATGTCTATCAGTAAATAACAGCTTGAAGTCAGGTATGTGCAGAACAAGCTGTGCTTACCATGAGCAGCCCTTTATAAGCGTAGACAATCCCAAGCCAAATTGTCATGTGAGTGTTTTCACAGTGCTCCAAGATTGGTCGGATGGAGATATCTCTGCCCGCAGGGTCTGGCTGCAAAAATAAAAGGTGAAATATTTGGATTCATATTTCATTTGTATTCAGACCTTAGATGCACTTAAATCTATTCTCAGTAGATTGAGAATGTGTCGAATACAGAATGGACAACTCTGGGGTAACTTGTGATGACTGCAGACCCATGAACCTGCAAAGGAATACAGTGAAAAGCAAAGATCTGAGGAAACAACTGCATGATAGCTACCAGCCGGTGAGGTCATCTCCACTGCAAAGCAGAAAGAGAATGTCTTAAGTCACTCTGTCTTTAACAGTGTCAGTCACATTTATCATCTTTAGGACATCTAATTTTTCTACAAGGCAAACAGGTTGAATGCACAGGCATGAATATAAATGTGCTTAAAGTCATCCCTCCTTTCACCTGTGGTTCTTCTGTCACTGGAAAATGGCTGATAAACAATGTATGAAACACTGCTGTGTTTCAGGTGCTTTTTCATTGATAAACATGAGCTAAATCAGAGCCTGTTTACTATGGAAACTACATCAGGAGCTTAGAAGAGAGTATAAATCATCAAAACTCTGGAAAGGACTTCCTTTAGAGCAAATGAAAGTCTATGCAAAATTTAATACTGCTGAAAGCTTGGTAGCTTTCCATTTATTTTGAAAAGCAGATTGCATAAAAATGCAGAATCAAGAAGACTTGCAGACTACCAGGAATGTTTGTATGAGGGAGAATTTATAATTAAGACTCAGAGAAACCTGGAAGAACAACCCCCAATCTCCCTCACCTTTTATTTTTTTTTTTTTTACAACAGGACAAAAAGCAGTTGACACAAATAGCAAACGGATACTAACTACTATGCTGTCTACAATTAGAATATGTATTAGTGTATGGTCCAACTGCTTTTTAATGGTGTACACTGTATAAGAACACAAGGTGCCTCTCTTACGTGATTCTAAGAGATCCTGTTTTAGTTAGATATGGCAGAATCCTCCTGTTGGCTGTTGTGAGCTCTGTGCACCTACCGTCTGTTTTGCTTTACGGAATACACCGTAATGCTGAAAGCTTCTTTTTTCCTTTCTACTTTGAAACACTGGATCTGAACTTCAGCTAAACTAAGATCAACCCAGGCATAACTTTCTGTACCTGGTTGTCTCAGTCGGATTGGCAAATTCCCTTTTTGATGAATAACATATGTAAAATGTCTCTTGAAGAAGTATAATGGTTATTACATGAAATAAGGAAAAATCACATTTTCACGAACTGAAATGTAGAATTGTATGCAGAAGGACTTCAGAGAGATCTGAAAAATTTGCTAAAGCTTATTCTTGCTGCCTCTGATGCAGATATGACTTTTGCTATGGATTTCAGTAGTCACAGCATTAATTCGCAGCTCAGTTTCTTCCATCGGTCTTTTTGTATTGCTGCGCTGACCTCATACACTCTAAAAAGATAATGTAAAAAACAAGAAGGTAGACACGGGGGAACAAAGAAACCCCAAAGAACCTTGTGCTATGCATTGCACTACACAGTCAAAGGATGCGCAACTTTCTTCGCCAATCCTGCACTAGGCAAGACATTAACACGTAAAACTTTCTCTTATCCTGGACTTCTGTAGAAACCCTGAACAGGAGAACAAAATTTTTTGAAAAAAGGTGTCCTAAAATAAAATAAAGTAAAAATGAAGAAGGCATGTGGTTTATTTCTCTTATCCCTGGGTTGAAACCTGCACTCACACTTAGACTGAAGCATTCTATCACTTTTAACAAACTAGGAGCAATGGAATTAGCCCTTATTTCAAAGAATATTACTGAAATGCAAACTCAGCGGTGGATTTTGTATTTTTATTTTCACTATGTTGTTATTCTCTAATGCAAATTGGCTTCAAGATGGGAAAGCATATGTCCATTCATTACTCAACACTGAGTGACCTGGGCAGAAAAACAATGAAGTGGAAAAGATAACTTGTTTTCAAATCTTATTAGACAGAAAGAAGGCTTATCATTTCCTTGGTAGGAAGACTGCCAGATTTCATAAGGCAATGATCATTTAAAAAATATGTAAATTAAATAAAACAGTGTATTTCAATTTTCTATGTAAGAAAAGAAATTCTTGTG